GTGGTCAATGTAGTTTATCTCCAGTGGTTCCTATGTTTTTCAATAAATAATACATAAGGCACATTTGTACACCCGTAATTATTAATAAATTGCAATACAAACTATCGTTAACGATTCGTTATTCAAGGTATAAGTATTATTTAAGCCTGATTGATTTCTGAAGATGTAGAATGGTATAATAATAAACACAATTTTCCAAGGTCAATATCTATATATCCGGCACGTATGAATGAATTTTATTTGGCATATTACCAGATTATAAGTATTCATGTAGTAAGGCAAATTTAAATCATATTCATAATAATCATAAAGTATAATTACCTATCATTGTTACTGCAGTTATTTACCAGATAAGATATCTGATAATTAATTGAGAATAATGAGATGATAATGGTATATTGATTTTCACTTGAATACATAATTTCGAGTTATACAGAGCGTATATGGATTTTATAATTTTTAATCCTGACTGTTGTGTGAGAAATAAGCTGATAACAACATGAGATCATATTTTTTTTTATTATTGTAGTAGACTAGAACAGATTTTCACTATAAAAAATACAGTACGGGCTCAACTGGGTCCTAGGAGAACAAAGAACAAAAATACCTAGTGAATTATTTGTAGCGTAATTTTAGTTTTTACTGTTTATTTGTCCAAAGTGGAATTAAATAAACCCCGAAAGGATTTGTCGAGAGTTATAAGTATATATTTTTAGTATATTATATTTTTTCCCTGTAGATTTTGTGCAAACAGAAAATTAACTCCACAATAGAAGAATGGAATACTCGAGTACCAAGAAGAAATTACAAAAATCGAACGTCAGAAAACATTTCTGCACGGGTTATCGCTTGGGCAGATCTAACTTTTTCTTTCTAGCGAATAAGTGACCTTGACTGTAGACTAACAAACCTACCCTTTCAGCTTTGTCCATATTTTTAGACATTTAAGAATCAAACGAATGTGGGCTAACACCGAATTCCTCTCTCGCGACATTCGTCAAACTATAAAAAAAAATAGGGCGTGTACATATCCGAAGTAAGTTGGCAACGGAGCCGTGGCTTATTGATTATATTTTTGCTACTTATATTTGCAGAAAACAGGGCCAAGGAGGCGATAATTCTGCATCGTAACGGCGCCGTCGGTTATTTTGTATGAGAACTCGAATAACGCAAAATACACGTAAATTTCGGTCTCGATTTTTAAAGGTTGTTTCAGACGTAAGCCATGCGCGTAAGCGCTCGTGCTGCTCTAGATCTCCATTTTCCATACAGTACGGCACTAAAAAGAACACCTCAATGGCAATTTTTACTTATATGAACTAAAATTATTGTTTAACCTTCCATACGAGTTCTATGAATGTATACAGGGTGAGTCAGTTTTTTGTAGACAAACTTTAACAGGAGACTTTAACAGAACACATGTTTTTAAAAAGAAAAGTTCCTATCCTATAAACTTAAGCATAAAATGCTTTCATTTAGTTCAATATTTATATAAATCAGCAGAATACATGGCCTATTATAATAAAAAGATCCACTTCTTATTTGTGGACGGGCGAAATGGGCGGTGACTATTAGACGCCTTCATTATAGCCCTCTTTCTCTATCGCACGGATTTCTATGACTTACTTTATCGCTCTCACGTAACGGCCGATGAACCATGGCGACTTTCCGACCCTGTATATCAAGTAGACCTTATAAAAAAATGTCATTGATTTTGGATTTTTCACCAAATTGCATTTCTATAAATAAAATGCTAGGTTTTTTTAATCAAGGAGATTGGAAGAGGCAGAGGGAACAAATATTGCAATTTATCTGCGCAAAGGTTGCCGTTTTCCGCAACTAGGTGACTCAAATCAGTGAATTATTATTTTAAAACGGACTAAAGATGTAGTAAACTTAACAGCAAAACTGAGTTTTCAACAACAAAACAAAGTACACATATGTTTCATAAGTTGTATCTCGTCCACACTGAAATATTGAATTTATTTTACAACTGGTTTTTATCAAAGATAAGAGTATACTGTTATTTGCACAACTTAAGGATTAAAACTTCTGTTGTCCACATGAAGTTTTTCCGGAATTTTCTCTCATTAATCTTAATGTTATCAATATTCAATTATATTAAGGTAGAAACAATTCTCGATTTAGTGCAAAAAGAGCGAATTCCCGAGCGGTTTTTGCTTGACCCTGCGGGAGAATTTATTTATAACGCTGTTTTGCACATCCTACTTTGTTAATTAATTGTAAGGAGCAACTTAATACCAACTTTTTAAAATTTTTCTTTTTCGATGTGTTTCTTTGGATCAATTAGAACCTATATCTACGATATTAACTTCTAAACTTAACTTTAAATGTTTAAAATATTTAATTATTTAAATTCTCAATGAAATAGATATACACGTTTTTCAATTTGTACGATTTGGATTGGGATACAAGAATTATAAGCTTAATACCTTCAAATAGCATACAGGAATAGCAATTTCATCAGTCGCCACCTTGAGTTTCACTACTTTTTAAGTTTTCAAGACGTGACAATTTTAAATGTCCCCTTTGTAAAAAACACTGTCCCAGATACAACATCTGTTGTTCGCCACATAAAACTCTTAGTTTTGTTTTCGTTGCGCTCGAAAGTTTTGCTTACACTTTCGAACTCGCAGGGACCTCATTACACTTTCAATTTCCCATTCAAGGTCCGAAAATGGCCTCTTATTGCTCATGGTGACCGATTATTCGTAATTGCTAAATTTCATGTAGCCGTTAAGAATGCATGCACATAAATTATGATTTATTCGAGTAGTTTTTTGATTCGGCTATACAAAGGCTAGTTAATTATTATCATTAACTAAATTTTACATTAGATCTATTGTCTAATATATACAAAAGGTAAGATACAAAATGATAAAATTAAAATGCACAACATTTTCTAATTGTAAGTTGAGTTTTTCGCTTTTGGGGCAATTGTAAAGGTTCACAGGGCAAGTCATATATACAAGTGTATTATTTTAAATTTCTGTTAAAATACCGACAAGTAATTTTACATCACAAAAGCCAAACTCGCCCGACACGCTTTTCTCAGTTTCTGTCAGGCCACGGCATTTGACTTTTGAAATTTAATTTCCGACTAGAGTTAAATCTTGATAGAATCAAATTAAATGTATTTCCACCAATAGTAACGTTCAAAGAATTATTTGACGTAACAAGGAAAATATGTATAAGTCAATAATGTTCGAGTTGTGCAGTTGCTAATTATATCAATGACGTTCTGCATAATAGACTCTTTTAGTGTGACGTCACATATTTAGGCAACCCGCAAAAAATTGTCATAGTTGAAATTGTCTTTAATGCGCAATATAACACATATAATTTTAATTTATTGATTACTATAAAAGTCAATATTGTTCTATAAATTTAAATATATAAATTCTATAATTCTTTTAGATTGTCACTTGGGGTTTGAAACTTCTTAAATATTGCTAATATTGCCAGAATATCGCGATTTTTAAGGTCATGACAAAGGAGACATTTTTTTGGCACTTATGTCCAAAGTACATAAGTTCGAAAATCGATCTAGTAAAAATATTGGGAAATTCTTCTTGACAATATGCACTATGGGATTGCCTATTATTTGGCGTATGTGACGTCGCCAATAATAATCAATCAATATAAGTATTTGTATATTTAATTAAGTTGCATATCACAGAAGCGATTTATAGGACTCGAACATAGATTTGTGAATACAGAAGGTATTTGAGTTATTTCCAGTCAATGCACATTTTACGAGCGTTAATAAAAATCTAAAATTAAATGTTTTTAGCAATGAATAAATTTTATTATTTTATGGCGTTTATCGAACTAAGTGAATTAATCTGTGTTCCTTATCAACAACACATACCTACCTTAAAGTATATTATAGTACCACATGTAATTTAAAAATAAAATAAAAAGCTGAAAAACAGATATTTTCACTTGTAATTTCAAATTTAGATAGCACTGACCTCCTTCGATTCTAAAATTAGAAGTTTTTCACTTCAAACGAGTAATTAATTTGCGTTCAACATTTCCTGACCGTGGTTAAATTTTAATTGCTATGTATGTTGACACTGAAGATATAATTAATTTGTTGTAACAACTTTCTCTGGAATTTTTTTTTTATGAAAGTCGAGATCTGTTGCACTCTTTCATTGATAAAATTCTGCTATATACAATTATAATGGCAAAACTGTAGTAGGATCGTATTTGATGCAAAGTAGAGCAAAAAGTTGTCGGTCTTTTGTCAAAGGAAAATCGTGTCATCATTTTTAGGAGGCGTAAGATAAATCATTTCAAATTTCAAATGAAATTCAATGTAAAATCTGAAATACCGCTGCATACGCACTGTGTTCTGGTAGTAGCTGTAGTCGCCCAGGTGCATCGAGTGTACGAACTGGTCGGTTATACGTCAAATACTAACCTGGCGAGCTTTGCCGTCAATTAGAGACCGCCTCCAAAAAACAAGTAAACAACAGTGACGCGTACAGAGGAAACATGTAGTAAATATGTGGAATTTAGGAAACAAATTGGATTTATAATAAATTACATTTAAAATAAATAGTTTATGAGAATAAAGGAATTTTTGTAGGAACAAGGGTGCCAGACCTGAACTGATGCCCTCGTCCCTTCATAATGTATAAAGAAATTATTCAATTTGTAAAACCCTTAAAAGCGTACTTCATTGGTTCCCTTGACAGGCAATGATTTATTACTTTGCATCGAATATGATCCTACTATAGCTAAGTTTATGATTATTTATTTAGTTATCGGTTTAACCAATATGTTGCGTCATAAAGTTGAATTTAAACCTGATTATTTTATAAACTTGAAAAACTGCAAATTACAATTAAAAATTAAGAGTTGGATCTAAAGTTGTAAATGTCTAGCTTTAATTAAAAATAGTCAGAACTAAATCATTGATGTAACTTTATTCTGACGATCTGAATTTATCTGCTGAAATTAATACATACTTTTACTACTATTATGGTGTTTCACTGTCTTCTTCAACTTCCTCCAGCACTGCACCAGCTTGGAATACACAGGTTTGTGCTTTTCTTTCGCAACCATCTCCATCACTGTGGCGGAGCCGAGGGTGGTTCTCTTCATCTTCTCCGAATCCTTCACTTCCGTCTCCTCTTTCTTTTTGCTCCTGAGATCGAAAAGTGACAAGGAGCGGCCGTAAGTAGGACGACCGTTGACCTGTTTCACGGGATACACATCCTGTAGCTTCTTGCAATTACAATCCTGATTGTCAGGATTATTAGCAACGTCTCTCATAAAGTGCAGATCGCGACCGGTAAAATTTTTGGCCTCCATGTTTTTGGGGGCCATCGTTCATGGATTTGCGATCTTAGTGAAGCGTTATCGCTACGGGATCGAAAATTACTGTTTTGGTGTTTCTTTCATTTGAAAAATAACGGTTTTGCGCACGTGTTTAGCCGATCGTAAGTGACAAAGTAGGTGCGTGCGTTATTTTAGCTTAATTTGAAACATATTTACTGTTTTCCTTAGAAATAAGGCTTTGTGTAAGTTATAAGCTCCCTAACAGTCCAACCAAAATACACTTGGAGAAAAAAATTGTTACCTGGTCTTTTATAAGTGGAAATGGTAAAAGGGGCTTATAATAAATGTGTGAGCAGGGGTGGCGGAGGGTTGATTTGGGGGGTTGAAAAGTTGTGAAAAATTGTATTATTGGGATTTCTGGCGAAAGTTAACGTCAAACAAAAAAGTATTCGATACAAAAGTTGTAGATCGCGCAAAAATCTACAACATTCGTAGAGGTCACTTTTTAAGATCAAAATTTCCGAGAAAAAGCGAAAAACAGGTTTTTTTCTTATTTTGCGATTTTTATTTCTCATTTCCGCAAAAATAATTTAATTTTGATGAAACTTGGTGAAAATATACCTTTCTGTATCTTAAATAACCACTTAATACTTAAAAAAAAACGATCCTATTTTAAGTAGAACTGACAAACGTGCACGACAAAAGGTTCTAACCCATCATCAAATAAAATAATAATTCATTAGTTTATTATTTGTTTTATTAATTTTATAAAATGCAATTAGAACAGAGTAACTTTATCACTTGTTTCCGAAAAACTTTCACCGTAAAATGAAAGTTTAAACTTTATTTAACGCAGTGGTCTGTTTCAACAAGAGACAATAACGCAGTAATTAAACATTAAATAATTATTATACAGGGTGTCCCGAAATTCATGCAACAAAATTTGGTCATAGATTCTTAAGACAAATTTAGGGGACCCGTATTTTTCTTTTTGCCAAATGGCCCCCTCTTTCGGAGTTACAGCCCCCTGAAATCTGCCCGTAAGTATTTTTTATATCTCAAAACAATGTTGTACGAGAATCACTAAATTTGGTACACAGGGGTTTTAGGACATGTGGAATCTCACAGTGCTACGCTTTTTGACAAAAAACCGCCTTAAGACACTTTTTCGTGGGCCCCCTTGTCTTTGGAACCAGAAAAATTTGGTCGCAAATTTTATTTTATTTTAAATTATTAGTTAGCTAGAAAGCCATTGAATTTAGAAACTTTTTTGTCTCTTGATATTTGTTTCGTAAACATAATGTTTTTGAGGAAAATGGCGAATCACGATATGCATTCGATCACATTTTGACATTTTTCTCCAAAAACATTGCGTTTTACGAAAAAAGTATAAAGAGACAAAAAGTTTCTAAATTTAATGGCTTTCTAGTGGACTGATAATTTTTAAGAAATTTAAATATGCAACCAAATTATTTTGGCTCCAGACAAGGGGGGACCACGAAAAATTGTCTTAACTCTTTCAGTCTCAGTGGTGCATAAAATGTACCACCGTTGTTTATTCCTCCAGGTCTTGGTGGTACATATTTTGTACCAGAATTTTTTAAGTACTTACATTTAAAAATTATTTAACAATCATTTCCCTTCAGCCATAGTTTTACAGACCCTGTACCACCCCCCCCCCCCCCCCCCCCCAGGAGTCTGTGAGCTAACACACGGTCACAAAATCAGCTGTAATGTATTTAGTTTTAAGTATTCTTTACAATAAAATCATTATAATTCACAAAAGCTATAGTTTAATTTTTTGTGACGCTTGAGTAAAAAAAGTAATATAATTTCTGTGCCTGAAAGAGTTAAGGGGGTTCCCCGCCAAAAAACGTCAGATTCCACATGTCATAAAATCCCTGTGTACCAAATTTAGTGATTCTCGTACAACAGGATTGTGTGTCCGAAAAAAGGGGCCAGTTGACAAAAAGAAAAAATACGGGTTCCCTAAATTTGTCTTAAGAATCTGTGACCAAATTTTGTTGCATGAATTTCAGGACACCCTGTATATTCCATAAACATATTAAATACAATTATTGTTGCACAAACTTCCCGCTTACAGAAACTTTTGTGTGCGAGATATTATAAAAAAACGTAAATTATTACGTTAAAATGTAATGAAAGAAACACCAAACGAGTCAACATAATATTAACAAATTTCAGGCGCTATTGTTAAGAGTCTATTGTTTAAATAATCGGAGAAAACGCTGCTTAGATACGTGTATATATAGGTTAAGTGATTTGATTACTTAAGCTGTGGGCTGTTTCTCATAGAGCGTTGCGAATCGACAATAACACCTAGTGTTTATAATTCAGGGTCAAATTTAATAAGTGTGTTTTAAAGGAGAAACAGGTATCATTCGACTTAAAACTGGTGGAATAAACAAGTTATGGTAATATGTGCTAGTTGGAGGAATTCTAGGTATATTTTCTTAGCCACTCGTATTTTTGGCGCTAGTAGTAACCTTATCCCATACCTACTGAAAGCTGTTCTAAAATTTGGCGGAATAAAATAGGAAATGCCATAAAAGTATAAACTTTACTGGTAATGGTACAATAAAAAATAATAATATGAAAGTTAAATTGCAATTTGGTAAAAAATAAGAAAAACGAAGTTTATACAAGGTGTCTTTGAAATACGTAATACACGTAAAAGTAAAACAAATCTGTTCAGATCAACTTACCTTTATCCAAAAATCAACTTTTATTGAGATAGATACAGCCTTTTCAGTTTGGTATTTGAAATGATGTATTTTTATATAATTTTCAAAAGAGACATCTCTTTTGGCCAGAGGTTTGTTCCTTTGTATCTCATTTACATTTCAATACAAAATTCCCTTCTAAAATTTTAACACTTGTGAAATTTTGATATTTGCTATGAGTTTCGAATAAAAAAGATAAATCTTCTTCGTTCAATTAAATTCAGGATGTTCGAAAATTCCGTTTTCATATTTGAATGGGTGATTTTATACACAAAAATAAGAAAAAAAGTTTATACAAATGAGTATCCTAAAGGTACAACGATTGTTCCAATTAAATAAAATAATCGGTATCTTTGAATTTTGTGTCTATAGGTAACTTGATTTAAATTGACTTATTTTGATTTACGGAATACATTGTCCACACAACTTTTGTATCCCTGTGTATTTGAAACTTTGTAAAGCATGTAGTTGATTTAAGTATATATACCTATTTAGTATACGCTTATTATAGCAAAGGTAAGACCGCTTTGATATGATTAGATTAAAACTTGGAAACTAAATTGGAAACAAAAAAAATATATTGTTCGGCTATTTTAAGTCAAGATACGCGAGAAGATACGATTAAAAAAACATAAGGACTTACACCTGTCGGGTAGTTTTAAGATGTATAGCATTGCAACCTCAGTAACGCCATTTTATTTCAGTAGTAATGTCAGGAACCTGAAAGCGAAGTCCACTTTCCCATTCGGCACCTGACCGAGACATAACGAAAAGCTATATTCCCTGTTAAGTACTTGTCTGATTTCATCTAACCTGCCATCTTATTGCCTACACCTGATATGACGTGAAGTTGCCTAGTGCAAGGAATGTACATAGGTACATTTTTGTAAAGCTTTTAGTCATAAATTTGATATAATTTAAAGTGCGTCACTATACAATAAAAATAAACGCTGCCAATAAAGCTGTAGGTATACTTGATTTGAATGAAATCAATTCCGTAGTTTTTTTAAATTAATTCCAAAAAATAGTAATAATAATTTTCCTTTCCTCTCTTTTCCATTTAAAGGATTAATTTTTATTTAATTTAATTTTTTATTATTATTTTTTTATTAAAATTAGATTAAATTTAAACAAAATATTTTTTTTTGTTTAAATTACCATGAAATTGACCAAAGTGGGATTAATTCAAGAGCGATTTTCTCAGAAACCGTTAAAGATAACGATTTGAAACAAGAGTACCTTTTTAACGTAAAATAGTTCGGGAAAACGGAATTTGCTGTCCAATTTGTTAAAAAGTCAAAGATGAAAAGGTTACACACGCAAAGTACCAAGGGCCCCCCCGTACCCAAACCAATGGACCTTGTGGAAATAAATGGATTAGTCCATCAAATTGCTCATCAAAATTTAGCTGTGTATACCAAATTTCATTCATTTGGGCGATTGAGAGATATTGCAAAAAATGATTTTCATTCCTCCCTCTTCAATGGGTCCCTGTGCCCTTAGGAAGCATTTCCGGACCCATGTTCATATGAACTTTTTTACTTAGTTTTGATCATAGAATCGGCCTGTTCAGGGTTAGCAGCTAATTATGAGACACCCTGTATATTTTTGAAGGAAATTAAATGCCCTACAAAAAAGATCCGATTGAAAATTTTCGGCAGACGAGCAGTTTCCATGTAAGCAAGCCTTGAAAATTGATGTTTTTTCGATTTGACTTTTTAACTTTGGAATTTTGTAAATAATGAACAAATTAATGTCTGAAAAAGAACAATAAAGATTTTCAAAGGAAATTTAATGCTCTACAAAAAAGGTCTCTTAACATTTTTGCATAAATTTACCCCTTCAAAAGTTATTCACGATTGAAGTTGAAGTAAAAATTAAATTTTTGTTTTTTTCGTTTTGGACCCAATTTTTTTCACTCGATGGAACAAATTGATATTATACATCATCGACAATTGTTATTCTATCAATATAATCATCAAAAATATCCAAAATTTATAATATATTCAAATTCATTCTCGCTCAATTTTCTACAAGAAGGTAGTTTTGTAGAAAACTACGTTCTTGTAGAAAACTAACTATCCAAAATAATTTTAAAAATAACAATCATGTAGTTTTACTACTGAAGATTATTTATTTATAATATTATATTCACTAATATATACGAATTCGCGTCTATCAACTTTCCTCCCTTACCCCTCTATTTGTTTCGCTTTTCCTCAACTTATTAAGTGCTATGACTAGTGAAAATACTCCTCCTTCTCCTTAATAACCGCAATTTTCTTTCATATAAATGTATACAATATTGTAAATAAACGAATAGTCTACGCTTTCATATAAAAATACGAAGGAGTACAAGTAAATAAAACTTGAGGCGAGGTTTTAAGTGGTGGTGAATTAAATTCCCTTGCTAGATTTTTCGATAAAAAATCCTAATATTATTTAATGGAAAATTATGCCTACAAAAAATGTAGTAGGTCACGTAGTGGCACTATCGCTATGACCACCGCCACTAATGGTACATCCATTAACCATTAAAACACTACTTAATACAACTCACTAAAATTTGATAAGTGTTCCGATCAACATCTTGTATATCTTTATAATATTTTTTCTGAAAAAATCAACATAGTATTTTTTATTATTTCGTTAATTAAGTATGTAATGCATGTACCAATTCGGTTCCAATTTTGTTACTTTTTTAATACCTTTTTCTTTGTAGGACAGTAGTATACCATCAACGAACGAAGAGTGCGGAAAGGGAGACATTCGTGGAGTTACTGCAAATTCATGGGCGTACTATTTTCTTGCACAAGAACGGAAGTTAATGACATACCTATTTAAGAGGCATTATTTTCAGTCTACAACTCGCACTTATTTATTATTATGTTTACAATTACAACTATTCTGACGGATTTGCGTTTCTTACTTTCTATTTTCTTCTGCTATATACGATATTGTACAGTAGTACGACGCCTATAAATATTATTTCTTGTAACAGTTTGCCAATGTACACGTCATAAAAATAAAATCTGTTGCTATGATCAATTGCGGCACAAAACGATCGATTGTCAAATAGTAGGTGAAAAAAATTATTATAAGATGATTACATACTTACATAGGTATTTATACTGAATCTAAAAAAATGGACTATAAACATTAGATAACCTTCAACTCAAAAGTCAAAACAACTCTGATGTATCTGCGTTGCCTGTAGTATTTCGTCACCAATTTCCACCAATCCACCCAAACAATTAACTTTATCGACTCTTTCAGTCTATTTGTTAATTTGACCACAATACTTTAATAAAAATCACAATTTAATTCATATTTAACTGCAAATATATGTATTACATATTTAATATCAAACTTGCTATTAAATGCACTCAGAATTTAAAAAACTAGACGCTATTCCAAAGAATAAATATTCAAGGTTCAATACATTTTTTTTTCAACACTCAAATCCTTTTTTTTTTGGTTATTTTAGTGGTCCTACTTCTGTTACTATACCAAACGATTTCACTAAGAGGTAGACGAGCATCGTGAGCTTTTCCTGGATGGTCACCCATTCAAGTACTAATACGAACAGCTTTGCTTGACTTTTCATATTCGACATGAATGTCACTCGTCCTATTCAAATCGGAAACACAAATTTTGTGAAATGAAAATATAAAAAAAAACACTAAATTATTTCACGAATTAAAACAGAATAGAAGTCAAATTAGAATAAATCAAAACATTTCTAACGTAATTCCATTTGCAGTTTTTTTAATTCTTAGATTCTTAGACATTCATGAACTCTATAATCCATAACAATATAACAATCCTTTTATTTTTATATTTATTTATTCAAGAAAACCTTTGCAAACAGATAAAAACCATGCGTCAATAAATGATATGGAAAAACACCAGTAAAGCGCTAATTATTTTATTACACATAATACCATGGCAGATTTACTGAAATATACATGGTGTTAAAAAAATTGTATTCTTTTTAAAAAACAGTTATAGTTAACTGGGTTTTTTATTCATTATCCTCGTTAATAATCCATAAAATACTTGTATTTTAAGTAAAGATTTAAATCAATATTTGGTTGTTTTTAAGTATTTCCGTATATGCTAAAAGTTATTTAAAAATAGAACAAAATATGGAAATACCTTACAAAAAACTTATTTGATAGTACATACTTGGCTTTTTTAACCTGTTATTATTGAATTAACAGTTGAAACAAAATGTGTTTTAATCAATGCTGATTGAGACTAATAATATGCTAAAATCTCAGTCCTTTGTTAATTAATATCAAATACAGAGCGACCATAAAAGTGATCAAATTCCAACTTTTTAAATGCAGTAAAAACCGATTCAAAGTATAACAAGACTATAAGATACTATTTTCCAATGATATTTCCTTTTTTCTTTGTAAGTAAATTTATTATGTTTTTTGATATTATAAAGTCCTCACAATTATTAATAGGCTTTGTTGAAAAATGGTGTATACATATAAATAAATACCATAGATTTGTTTCAATCAAAATCCTAAGGTAGGCGAATTTTACTAGAAAATTATTAATGTGCCGAGTGTTCAAAAAAGTTATAAATTTTCTCTTTTTGAAATGAAACAATACATGCGTCAAGTAAATTATATACAGAGAATGTCATTCGTTTTTAAGGTAGGTTGATTTTACTAGAAAATTATTGCTGTTTATACAGGGCGACCACACCAAGAGAGTAATCAAATTTCACTATTTTATTACTTTTATTTGGATAAATATAGAGGTTTTCTTCCAATAGATGGTTTTTAGTCTGTTAACTGTAACTTAATTTACATTTTTGTGGATTTTTTTGCTTGTGAGGGACCTTCTGAAAATTAGTTAATTTTTGATAACCCACAACGAATTTGAGCTAGTCTGAACGATAACAATGTTTCACAGAAATGTGGTATTTTTGAAAACGTTTTCCTATTATTTATACTCGACTCCTACTAAAAATTTTCGGAATAATTGATGAAGAGTGTCGAATAATACGATATCGATTATGTTCCTACAACTCCTTTTAATCAAACATTAGTCACTTAATCTTATAAATAACTCTGATTAATATGTGGACACGAATAAAATGTTATTGTTTACAGTCAGTCGATGGTATTATATCATCGTTACCTAGACCTACTATTTAACATAAGCTAGATGGTATGGGTATACCTAGTTTATACAAGACTTCACACAAAGGAAATGATGTATTAGAGGTCAAATATCGTCATTTCCCCGAAAAGCGTCAAGATTTGTTCCGAATAATTTAATGGTATTTTTATTAGGTTAATAAATTTAAAGAATGCATTGATAGTATTTCATGCCAAATGATAACACACTATAATTTCAAAATGTTTCAATTTTTATCAAAAAACAAACATATTAGTCTGTAAATTAAAATATCTAGTGTAAACTAGATTTAAACTATAGAAGGGTTGAAACAATAACAGGAATAATTTCATTATTAGTACAGTAGTAGTAGGTACAGACGATCAAAACAAAACTACGACCAAAACCGGTCACGAAATAAAAACTTATCGCTGTTTATTTCTTCGTGTGTATTAAAAAGAAGCAACACTAGTACTACGCCTTAAAATTGTTAAATATCTCAACCAATATGCCTATTCCACAGCTGATCAAATCACGTAACCTATATATACCACGCTAAAACATCTAACCAGGGTTAAAAAACTCACTTAATTCCACAACACAGAATCATTTAAACAAAAAAAAAAAAAGACGCCGGTATTCCGCGACGGACTGCCACGGTACGCGAGTATCACAACACTGACGCCGAAGTATCCGCGAGATCGGATCATGCAAACCGAGAGTCACTTTCCAATGCCGTTTCACGTGGACCAGCGAAGAGAAAATAAAATCTAAACGGCGGCCGTCTAAATAAGTAACAGGTGTGTGGTGCGATGTGATGGATGAGATGCTCGGTGATACTCTGATTACGCGTTGGGCAATCGTTTGCTATGCAGTTTTCCTATCACACTGATAAAACTAGCTAAAGGCTTATTCCCACAGAGCTGCACATTTTACGCTGCGTACACAGCGTTGTACGGATATTACCTCGCGGTTCGTTATATAACGGCGTTTTCCTTTATTTCAGTTGCGTGCAAGCGAGCGATACCCAAGCGGTATACAATAAACATGTCAAGGGAAAAAAATTGATAACTGTATTGAAGTAAGCGCTAAATAAGAAGCTCGGATATGTCTTCTATTGTAAGCAGCAGTTCAACTTGCAACAATATGGTATAGTATTTCCGATCTCAATTGAAGAACCAAGAAGTGGGCAGTATGTAGCAGGTTCGGTCGCTTAGGTAGCAACTCGACATTGAAATATTTGAAAAACTAAAACTTGTTCCCATATTTATTTAGCCATACCCATATATAGGTCTGGTCGAACTGGTCTGGTGGTAGAAATGTATACGCCCAGTCGTAGAATGCACGCGTGGGCAAACGGCGTATAACATAGCCGCACTGGGCGACTGGGCAATAAATCTCAGTTGTTGACAAGTGGTTGACAAATTGTCTAGCAGTGCAGTGCAGCAAACGGAGAAAAGGGATATTTTGTTTACTAATATTACTACAACACGGCATTTTGGAGACCTTTTCAAACGGAACAAAACGAAATTTACCATCACTATAATAACATTGCTTGAGGGCAAAAATAATTAAAATATGTTTTTGTCCAAATGAACATATAATAGAAACTACACATTATATCCAAATTATTATATTTTTTTTACCTTTAGCCGAAAACTTTTTTAGGGACGCCTATGAAACTCCTTAAATTTTATTGCTAGACGTTTTTATACATGTTTAACTGACTTCGGAAAGACATTGTGTTAAGCCAGATCTACATTGTAGATCTAGACCAACTTATAAGCCTAAGCCAAATTATATATATTTTTATATTTTGGCGAGTGATTCCAAACATAAAAATAAGAAAAAGTTTATATCATTAGTTTCGAATGTGCTTCCTAGGGGCAATAAGGGTGTTTTCCATAGACTCGCCATAGCATCCTTAGGAAACATTTTAGAGATTATTCATATAAACTTTTTTTCTTAATTAGAAATATAAAAGCGAAATTCTAAAATAATATATTTCAGTACATGCAGGACCGAAAATTTCCCTTTTTTTTAATAAAAAAAATATTCCGATTATTTTCTAATGTTTCGAGAAATATATAAGCCGATATAAGCAGACAAAGACGCGTACCAAATCAGCGGTCACTAACTAAATCAGTTTAATAATATTTAAAATGTTTCTTGCTACCGTATTCAGCGTATAAAGGTCTAAAGATTGGATCACATCGGCCGAGGTGTTGGCAAGTATTGGTATTATTTTTATATTGATATACCACAGACAAAATAGCTTCGCTCCAAACAGCCCCTGGAATAGGACAGCAGTTTTAAATTTTCGAATGCCGATAAAGGACACCACCAGCAGAATTGTAGCAAGTAGAATTTTAGGTAGAAGATTCAAACGCAGCGGCCGGCATTCCTAGACAATGCTTAGTGCAACCTATCAACACAAACAACAATTTGGCAATGTTGTCACGCGTACGCACGGATTTATTTTGTACACTTTTTTTATCAATGCCTATTTTTGTGTAACTGTATTTACCTCGGTATTTACTTAATGTTTTAAAGAATGAACGAATACCTATGTAGTCAACTTCAGATGATCGGATATTCTGCAGCGGTGTATCAGTTAGGTTATTTAATCATAATTAGCTACTATCATCATTCATTATTATTCTTCGTATTGCAGAAAATATATTTCTAAATATGTAAACAAATTCATATTTTAAAAATATTTTAAGTAAATATAGTTTTTTTAATATTTGATGATGCCATAATTTTTACAAATTTATTTTTAATATTCGAAATTCTGCGACATTCGTATTATCTATTTTTTATCTTCAAATAGTCTGTTACACAACTGATTATACATCAAAAAGTCCAAATGTTGTGTCACTGTCAAAAAGTAAATTAGACAGTCAGCCTAGCCCACTTATCCCCTAGTAAACAGTTGGTACCAATCACAACGACGCCCTCGGTGACGAAGAGAAACTGACAGTGACGGAATTTTCAAATTATTGTATTATATTTACATTTTATACATCACGTATATGAGAAATACTAAGTTCTCGAATTGAACCATATCCGAGGAGACTGGCGACTCTCATTTTTCTTATTACCATGACGGTAATCATATAATATTATGTATCATATAATATGGCTTACTTTTTTTTCATCGCATTACCTATTTATACAGAGTATTTTGAAAACTAGACATCCTATTTAATACTTCAAACGAAATTTTGATAGTTCAGTTAAATTTACAATGACAGTGTCAAAATTCAGTTCTGATAATTAAAAATACAATTTTCAAACGAAATAAAGTCAGGTATTCTTGGAATCAATTAAATGATTGTTGGAAGTATATCTCCGCTTTTCGTATCTTTTTAAGAATTTCAATTCAGTAAACATTCGGCTTTAAAACTTATGAAAACTTTTCGATAAATGTAAACATATTGTATATGTTTTGTGCAGCTTCTGCCTCATTATTCTCACGTCTTGATTAAATCAGCTGTTTATCTTCGGCTGAACTGGAAACAATCTTACAGATAAGATAAAATTTAATATCGTGTCTATTACAAAGATTTGAAAATTAATGAGTACAATTTAGTTATTATTTAAACCTAATTTTAAGAAACGATAAATTAATATTGACTAAGAAATTAAAAGCCAAATAAAAATAAAATACGACGTAAATTCAGATGGCAGCAAAATAATAATTAAATAAGAAATTTAAACGCATTAATAGCACCTATATATCTCCAAGCTATAAATATAGAAATTATGCCATATTTCTGCAAATATAGATATTTAATTAAAGTTAATTTTGGTACATGTGAGACATGGTGACCCAGATTTTTAGGTGCAAAATACCAGTGCAACCTTATCTTTAGAATAGAACACACTGTATATTTTTAAATGTAAATTCGACAACTACTGAAAATTACCTTTGAGGCAATAAATATTTTACGAGTATTACTGTAGTAGTTTTTAATAGATATTCATTGATTTATAAAAAAAATGACAGTTGCCCGAGTCTGTGAAGATATTTTTTATGTTGCACCAGTTCTATTTTTTCAATTACAGTTCGTCAGTTTAAAACCTTTTTTGTTTAAATTTTACTGGAAAATGATGGAGCTTATGAACTACAAAATTATCTACAATTTTTTAAACATTAGAAGTTCGCATACGAGAATGTTAGCCTCGGTTAGAGCAATATTTAACTTTACCACTTTTAATTGAACTTGAAAAATTTCGAAATTATTTTTTAATCAAACAAATCGGAAACTAACAGTAGAACAGTTCCAAGTTTTAATGATTTATCTTAAAAGCTTTTGGAGATACCTTAAAAAATAATATCCAAAAATATTACATTTTTGCGGTACAGGGTTGAAAATTAAAAAAATTGATTTCACATTTTCTGAACTACCTACCCCTGAAGACATTTACAGTGGAGTGATAACGACTTTATCTAATTAAAGGTAACACCTGTTCAGACACAAACAGATCAACCACAACGGAGACACCGGAAGTCACCAATAGCTATAACAAAGACCCCAGAAATTCTATGCTGTTGGATCTTTGGAAATTTGATGATTTGATCTTTGCTAGTAACTTCTAGTGGTATTTCTAAGACAAGATATGTTTTCCCTTATTTGAAAAAAGTGTTACCAAGCATTTCAATAAATTGGAAATGACTTTATTATGCAACAAAATCAGTTTCTTTTTCATCATAGTTTTGTTTTAAAAGTATAAGTTTAAATGTATGTTCGCGAAAGTTCGAATAAAATCATTGGAGTAGAAGTTTTGTACTTTGTTGAAGGCCACAAACATGTTCTATATATATTTATTTTAGGTTTATTCAAGTATTTAGTAACCTCGTTAGTAACGACGAGGCATGTTCAAAAAAAGTAATAATTCGAAAATGTTTCATTTTATTTCTTTTGAATAAAATGAAAGACGCTACTTTTCTTAGAAATCAAACTAGGAGTCCAAGCAGCGATCAGATTTCCAAAATACCCCAGTAATGTCAATTTTCTGGGGTCATTAGTGACAGATACTTTAACATCTTCGCTACTTATTTAATCTGGGAGATTTTTAATTCTAAATATATCTCCAGTAGCATAAGATATGGTCCCAATATTGGCATCATATACTTAGCTAACGTATTGAATTTGGGCCCAATATTTTGAAGATTTACCCAATATTGGTAACATATTGATATACATATAAAACAGAGGCGTCCAATGTACAGGGTGTCCCGCATAAAAACCGACTCAGGTCAGGTGCATGTAAGTTGCACCCATAGACCACCTAGACTGGCCGTATCTAATTCCAATGCACGGGTATCAGTGAATGCAAAATCCGGGGAAGTGGAGTGTGGAAGGCAATCTGATTGCGCGCATCTTTAAGCAGATCCGGATTAAGTAATATTTTTATTACATATTAAACATTATATTGCATCTTATGACAAATATTCAATTTTAAGTTTGTATTTCAGAAAATAGTACATTTTAGTCTCATATTAAATAAAACTACAAAATAATTTAAAAATATTTATTATTCTCTAAATAATATTAATTTATTTAATATGTCTTTTCGTAAATTTTACCGAATTAAATAATTTGACTTCATGATTTATTCGTACATCGATATACTTTTCACATTCAGCCCTTACAAGTTCTATTAAATGATTACAATTGTTAGGCAAATTATCAAATTGATGTTCATGCAAATTGTCAAATATGTTC